GGTACTTACTGGCGTATGAATGGAAAACAGGTCAGCAAAGGCCACCCAGTGTGTGCACTGAGTCCCGATAAGGTCCCCATGAGGTCTCCAAAGATTCCCCCAGTGTGCCCCATGTTCAAAAGCCAGCATACAAGTGCCTGGCAGGACATGGTAGGACATCTGACTCCCTTCACCTGCTCTCAGTTGAGGGTACTTTTTCCACTTAGGCCTCAGCTCCTGCACTTGCAAAGGCAAGATGGAGATCAAGGAGAAAGACACATACACTCTAGTCTCCAGTGCAGATTCCTCAGCCATTCATAAGTCAGACTGGAAGGGGCAGGGAACAAGGTATTAAACTGGATCTGAGAATGAAGTTTTGATTGGACTGGATGACTTCTTTTTTTTTTTTTTTTGAAGCTGAGTCTCGTTCTGTCTCCAAGCTGGAGTGCAGTGGCATTATCTCAGCTCACTGCAACCTCTGCCTTCTGGGTTCAAGCGATTTTCCTGCCATAGCCTTCTGAGTAGCTGGGACTACAGGTGCCTGCCAACAAACCTGGCTAATTTTTAAATTTTTAGTAGTGATGGGGTTTCACCATGTTGGCCGGGCTGGTCTTGAACTCCTAACCTCGGGTTCAGGTGATCCACCAAACTCGGCCTCCCAAAGTGCTGGGATTACAGGTGTGAGCCACCATGTCTGGCCTGGACTGGACTTCTAATGTCTGATGAGAGTATTAGTTGAAAGTAACTGAAAAGCTAAAAGATCTACTGAGATATTGCCCAGGGCAGTGCGGGACGTTCTGACGGTGGATCTGAGGGCTGACAAGCAGTGGAAAAAGGAAAAGAAAGTCAGTTCTTGATTTTCACCTATTTCTCCTCCAGCCAAATCTAGCTCATTCAGTAGCCCAATAACAATAATTTATTCCCATTGTTAATAAAGCCACTCCGAGACACGTGGCCTTCAGAGTTAGTATGCAGTTTCTGGAGTGAAATACATCAACAATAATAACAGCATCGTCAACAACAAAATTCTCATCCGTCAGCTCTCGTCCTTTGAAACTGGTGACATTCTTATTAGTTTGAGGTGCAAAGCCCTCCACCAGAGGCATCAAACTCAAAGGCCTACAGGGACCAGGGAGGTGATATAAATAATGTAGGTGGAGGACTAGGTGGGACTAGAGAGTCTGTGTCCCACCTGAAAGGACAGGTACCTCTCTTCCAACCAATTGTTGCCCAGTGTAGCCAGATCTTCCCATTTTCCCAGAAAGTCCAGAGAGCTGCATTTTTTGGGTAGTACCTCTTCATTTTGGAACTACTGGCAAGAGAATTAGTCAGGGTTCTGTGTTGCCACGGACACAATCTACCCTAGGTAGATTAAGTAAAAGTGGTGAATTGTGGTCCCTCTCCCCTGCCCCAAATCATATGTTGTAGCCCTAACCCACAATGTAATGGTATCTGAAGATAGGATATTTAGGAGGTAATTAAGGTGAGATGAAGTCATAAGAGTAGGGCCCTGATCCAATAGGACTATTGGCCTTACAAGAAGAGGATGAGAGAGAAAGAGAGAGAAATAGAGAGAGATAGATCTTTCTCTCTCTCTCTACCATGTGAGGAGACAGCAAGAAGGTGGCCGTCTGCAAGCTAGGAAGAGAGCCCTCACCAGAACCCAGAACCTGACCATGCTGGCATCCTGATTTCAGAATTCCAGTCTCCAGAATAGTGAGAAAATAAATTTCTTTTGTTTAAGCCACCCAGTGTTTTGTTATGGCAGCCACTAAGACACGTGGTTGAAAACTCTGTATAATCTCCAGGAGGACAAGAGAGCCAGATGCTAGCTGTGCAGCCAGAAATGACTCCCAAACCAACTGTGGGGCTGTCCCGTGAACATGTGCCATGCCTTTCACCATGGACAGCAAGCTTACAGAAGGGTGGGAAGCAGATGCCTTGGCTGCCAGGCTTACTATCAGATAGATTTCTCCCTTTTGTTGCTCACTTCCTGGCATAAATCTCATTTGATCTTCTAATAGCACAGCCTAGATCACATATGACCTGATTTCCAGAACCTTCCTGGAAAAGTGCTTTGTTTTCTCTGAGGGAAAGGTGGAACTCATAATGTGAGGCATTTTCCAGACATAGGAAGAGTATGTGTTTGTGAGCTGCTTAAAGCCCTGCCAACTGATGACATCTGACCCATGGACTACTTTCATTGTTTAAACTTCCACTTCTGAGAACAACTAGAAAAGCCAGATTAAATCATCACCATCACCACCATCTGTTAAAAGACATTCAGAGAACTGTTGAACTAACCAGGACTAACGGAGCCAAGATTCTGGAGACAGGGTCACAGTGGTGAGGTGAGCTGATGTTTTGCACCTGATTTTTCCCTGGGGATATTTGCACATTTGGGCACAGGGAAAGAGGCTGAGGTTCTAGACTTTTCCCAGGCATGAGGGCTGCTTTGGGGGAACAGAGAAACTGACAAAACTTTTAGCAACCTCATAGGACTAGAAAGACAAAACTGGAGACGTGAGAGACTATTATTTCAGGGAGAAGAAAGGGGCAGGAAAGTGAGCCTGATCGACAGTGGTTTTCCCCTCAACATATTTGGCAAAGTTTGAAATTGTGCAGGGCACGGAGCAAAGAAGCCAAGCAGAAGGTCCCTGAAAAACAGAGCAGTTTCCACAGTCTTGCCATGTTGTGAAGATAAGGGTTAGAGCTCAGGACCAGCGAGAGGGGCCTTAGTGAACACCCAAGGTTGCTAGTTGGAACCCTGGAAAGGCAACGTATTAGAGGTAGGGGCCAGAGTGAAGTGGTGTCTTACCAAAAGTATAACCATAACCCAGACTCCACCCAGCTCGGCCCCTGATTGGATTAAGATGATTGATCTGTATGCCATTTGTCTTACAGAGAAAGAGTGTGCCCTCTCCAAAGTTAGAAAATATCACCTGGACACTGTACATTTTTTCATACATGATGTCTGACATTCAATAAAAAAATACAAGGCCTGCCAAGAGACAGGACCATGTCACTGAAAATAAAGGGAAAAATAGTCAGTAGAGACCTACAGCTGATCAAGTTATTGGAGTTAGACAAACGCTTTAAAATAACCATTATTAACATGTTGAAGAAAAACAAAAAGATGGAGAAAATAGATGAAAAGAGATAATTTTCCAGAGCATTGAAATCCATAAACTTCCTGGTCCAAAAGATTGAGAACATAGAGAACTTGCTTCACCTGCTCATTGACAGATGATGAAAATACTGACTCAGTTCTGTATAGCTATAAAATCCTGTGGCTTATAGTCTTTTTTTCTTTCTTTTTCTTCTCTTTTTTATTTTATTTTTTTGAGATAGAGTTTCACTCTTGTTGCCCAGGCTGGAGTGCAATGGCACAATCTCAGCTCACTGTAGCCTCCACCTTCTGGGTTCAAGTGATTCTTGTGCCTGGGAGTAGCTGGGATTACAGGTGCCTGCCACAAAACCTGGCTAATTTTTTGTATTTTTAGTAGAGATGGGATTTCACTATGTTGGCCAGGCAGTCTCGAACTCCTGAGCTCGGGTGATTCACTCACTTCAGCCTCCCAAAGTGCTGGGATTACAGGTGTGAACCACCATGCCTGGCCAGCTAACAGTCTTAAAAAAAAAAAAAGTGTGTAAAGGGAGAGCATCAGGAAGAATAGCTAAAGCATGCTGGGCTTAATACCTAGGTGATGGGTTGATAGGTGCAGCAAACCACCACGGCACACATTTACCTACGTAACAAACCTGCACATCTCGCATAGGTACCCCAGAACTTAAAAAACAGTTTGATATTCAACTTGGCCACCACTGACTCCTGTTCTCTCTGCTTCTCAAGTGGCTTCATTTAAGGGTGACATATTATACCGTGTGTTCTGAGTATCACTTCTTACTCACTCCTCAGCACAGGACTCTGTTCACCTGGAGAAAGGTGCCTTTTGCTAATTATTCTAAATACATCTGTTGGGCAATGTGTGTTGGGAATACTATTAGATAAAATGGTTAGGGAGATGAGGGCTCTCTGAGATGATATTTGAGTTAATAGTGACAAGAAGAAACCTACCAGGAAAGGATTAGGGTGAAGCGTATTCTGGGTACAGTGGACACAGAGTACAAAGATTTAATCAAGAGCCAGCAAACTTTTCTGTAAAGTGCCAGACAGTAAGTCTTTCAGGTGTTGTGTGAGCCACTGGTCTCAGCTGCAGCTACTCAACTCCGCTTTACAAGGCAAAAGTAACCACAGACAATAAACAGATGTGTGGTGATATTCCAACAAAACTTTACTTGTGGACATAGTGATGTGAATTTCATGTAATTTTCACGTGTCACAAAATATTCTTCTTTTGATTTTTTCAACCATTTTATTTACATTTTTAATTTTTGAATTTTTAGCAGAGACAAGAGTCTTGCTATGTTGCCCAGGCTGGTCCCAAACTCCTGACCTCAAGTGATCCTCCTGACTCCGCCTCCCAAAGTGCTGGGATTACAGGTGTGAGACACCGCGCCAAGCTTCCAACCATTTCAAAAGGTAAAAACCAATCTTAACTACGGAGCTATCGTTTGCTGATATAACGTCAGTTAGATATGCTGGGGTCCGTCCACGCACACCCTTGCAGCACATGGGAATACCCAGAATAAGGCAAAGGCCCATTCCTTCTCCAAACGGAAAGCCATCAGGGCGGGGCAGAGTACCAAGCCTAGGAGGCAGTTTCCTGCAATTCACGGAAGATCATCAGGTTCGTTTTATTTTTTCCCCAGTAACAAGAAAGGACAAACGAAAAAAAAGGCACACACACAGCCGAGCCAAAGACAGAGAGGACGTGCCCAGGTTCACGCCGACGTCTCTCCAGCGCTCACCGAGGGTTTTAAAGTTGGGCGCACACCTGCTCCCACCGGAGCGCACCTGCTGAGCTGCCCGCCCGGTCTCGCGAGAGCGGTGTTGGAGTAGTGGCCCCCACCCGCTCCCCGCCCCAAATCCCTCTCCCCGCCCCCTCGTCCAGCCTCCACGCTCGGGCACACTCCCTGCCTCCTCCGCCGCCCCCGGGAGCCCGCTGGGCCCGAGGCGCGCGCTGTCCCCGTGCCCCCGCCCGCCGACCGCTCGCTCGCACGCACTCCCGGTAGTAATTTCACTTTGCCACGCGAGCTCCGCAGCCCCTAGAAATCCCGCCCCCCGGCCCTGTCCCCGGCCAGGTGCGCGAGCTTGCGCGCTCCTCCTCCGCCTCCTCCGGCGGGTCCCTGGCGCGCCGGGGCCGGGGCCCGGCTGGGGCGGCTGCGCGCACGGCGCCTCTCCACCAACCCGCTCCACTGCAGGTCCCTCGCTCGCTGTCTATCCCTCTCCGGCGCTCCCTCGCTCCCCCCCGCCCTTTGATTGACAGGCAAGATGTCGGTGTGGAGCGAGGCAGGAGCGATTGCAGCAACCGTCACCCCCGGAGCCCGGCGGCGGCAGCAGCAGCAGCGCGGGGAGGAGACAGCAGCCAGCCGCAGTAGCCGCCGCAGCCACGGGAGCAATGCAGACAGCACCTTGAGAACGCGCTAAAACACTCCCAACCGTGGACCATGCCGTGTCCCTGCAACTGGGAGGGGGGCAAACCAGATTTTTTTTAACATAAAAGCCAGCCAGCCAAAAATATATAATTTTGTCCTTCAAGGAGCCGGTGTGTAAAGAGTGAGCGCTATTTTCCTTCTCCTCCTCCTCTTCCCTCCTCCTCCTCTTCCTCCTCTTCTCCTTCTCCTCCTCTTTTTCCTCCTCCTCTTCCTCCTCCTTCTCCTCCTCCTCCTCCTCCTCCCTAAGTGTACAGACAGCATCACATCACCTGGTTTGCTTCTGAGAAACAGCATCTGTCCTTTTCAGGGACCAGAGACTCAGAGAGAGAGGAGACATTCTAATGGAGTCCGCTTGATACCCCAAAATAAAATAATAAATTTTGGCTCTTGTCCCCTCCTCCCACTCCCACCCCCTCAACCCTGTGTGAGATGTTGGATTTCTTCATGAGACATTGTTGAGGAGTCGCAGTGGTTGGAGAGGCGGAGGGGTAGGCTACCTTTCTCCCCCCCCCCCTTTTTTCTCTCTGGGAGGAGGAGGAGGGGAAGGGGGTTGCAGAGCAAGCGATGGATGAGGAAAACATGACGAAAAGCGAGGAGCAGCAGCCTCTGAGTTTGCAAAAAGCCTTACAGCAGTGCGAACTGGTCCAAAACATGATAGACTTGAGCATCTCCAACCTGGAAGGGCTTAGGACCAAATGTGCTACCTCCAACGACCTCACACAAAAAGAAATCCGGACCCTGGAGGTAGGTGTTGCCTACGGGGGAGGGGGGGAGGGAGAAGCAATCCTTCTGTCCCCCTCCTTTCTCCCCACGGTCCCCTTTCCCTCGGATTCTGTTTATTGGGGGCTGGGGATGGTGGTGTGGGCAAGCAAGGTGAGCACGGTTTGCTTTTCTGTGATTTCTCTCCTTGCAAAGCCTGCATTGGATATTCTTTTCCTGTGCTGCTGTCGTCTGCGCTTGGCTGGGTGGTGGTAGTAGTAGTAGTAATTGTTATTCTTTATTTATTATTATTGTTGCGGCTGTGACTGTTATGCGCTTCCTCGCTGAGGAGGGAGTTCTCTCTTTTTTCCGCTTGTGGATTTGTTTATATGCCACGGGGGCTTGTGTGCGGGGTAATACATTAAGGAGCTGCAGAGAACCCACGTGACCTTGCGCATTCTGCAGGTGGTCAGAAGGTGGTTTTTGCTCGCGGAATGGAGCCGCTGTCAGTGTAGACCTCTTCTCTCGGCCTTCTTCCCCGCCCTCCTTTTGCTCCTTAGATTTTTTTTTTTTTTTTTTTTTCTAAATCAGTGATACACATGTCAGGAGGCAAGATGCATGAAAAAAAAAATCCCCATGGAGCTACCCATTTCCAATCAAATCGTTTTGATGCAGTGAGCTCTTGCAGGCCTAAAACGTATAAAAGGAAAAAAAAAAATGTGCCTCAATCAGCATACATAGGTGGTGTGGGAGAATACTCCTGAGTCTCGGTGGGACTGCGAGGAAAGAGGAAAGGGGTCGGGGAGGAGGAGTTATCTTCGGCTTCTTGTAACATTCTCTCTGGCAGAACTTGAGGGGGAGTTTGAAACAGTTTTTTTGGGGAGTGGGATGGGATGAGGGATGGATGCAAAGTTACTCAAAGTGGATGGCAGAAATTATTTTTTTCTGAAGTCCATTTGGTCAAAGGAGGAAGGTTTAAAGAGCCTTAGGAAATGCCAGATGCCTGATGTCCACGATATCATTAGACATCCTCTGTTCAAAATGTTTGAAGGGTTCAACTCACTTCCTTGTCTCAAACCGACCCAGCTGTACACATGGGTTGATTAAATTTGGGAACTCCCATTAGCTGGCACGTGCCGAGGGTGGGGGCAGTGGGGCTGGGAGAAACGGGGTTCCCCCTGTGGTGGAGTGGGTATGAGTAGTGCTGAGACATTCTTCTTGCTTCTGACACGTGAGTTTCCAAGGCCTGAACTCGTGAATCTCTAGTGGATCTTGCAGCCCTCCCGCCCCTGTTCTAGCCTTGGATGGATGCTTTTCTTTGATTCACTTTTGGGTCTTTCTTTTTCTTCTGTGATTTTAAATTTGCCTGGATGTCAACATGCAGGAGGTCATTCCTTTGAAAGATGGTGGGGAGAGAGAGAGAGAGAGAGAGAGAGAGTGTGTGTGTGTGTGTGTGTGTGTGTGTGTGTGTCAGAGAGAGGAGAGAGAGAGAGAGAAATGCTGTTTGCTACCCTAGGATACATGTCTGTGTGCACCTGTCATCTGGAAATATGATCCTCAGGGATGAAATAAGATCAGTGTCAAGGTGTATCGGGAGAGTGGGAATTGCATTGGGAGGCACAGGTATTGCTTTTCCTGGAGTTTGGGAGAGCAGGTAAGGCTGGAGCTCTGCTGCTGGAAGAAAAAGTGTGGCATGTTCTGATCCAGCCTTCTGTCTCTGCCTGAACAGGGCCAAGAGCAGACTCTTCAGACCTGCATGCAGTCAATAAATAATCCCACAAAAGCCACCTGAGCTCTCTTCTGTTCCTCTGAGTCAGTAGTCCCAAATGCTAGTTTTTGCATTCCTGTGTAAGTTTCTCTGAAGTTTTCTTTTTCTTGTTTCAAACATACTCCATCCTCTGATGGCTTCCTGGATGGGGATGTGCTGCAGTGGGCACTGCCTTCTTTCTGCATAGTGCTTCTCCTTTTAAACGGGGGGATGGAGGCGTTCGTAGCATGGCTGTGGGGGAGTTGCAGTTGTAGGAAATGCATCTGTTTTCAGTTCCCTCATCCCAGTATGCTACAGAGCATGCCAGCCACTTTCATCCATCTTGCCCAGGGAATAATCTTGAGCAGTTATTCCAATTTATTTTTCCCAGATTTGTAGGGCCAGGGAAGGTTGCAGAGGGGCTGGTAACTCAAGGTCCCACCAACTCGGGCCAACCCTAACATTTGGGTCCATGGGGTTTTCTAATTTTGTATATCAAAACCATAGGAGGGTGCTTGTTAAAATGCAGATTCACAGCTTCTAACTCCAGAGATTCTAATTTAGCTGGGATTAGTGATAGGGCCAAGGAATCTGCATTTAATAAACAGTCCAGGTATTTCTGATACATGTTTTCAAATGGACACTTTGAGATGCTAATCCATTAGGAGAAAGATGTGATATTTCAGCTATTTAACAGTGAAATGGCTCACTGCTTGCTAACACTAATGCAATTAATAAATTGAATAGGCTATCCCTGAAAACAGGGATAATAAACAGCATTTAATAGCATGTTCTGTAGAAACAAAAATATGCAAGGTGGACTTGGCCTTCAAGAGACGTATTTCATGATATAATAATGTGTATGTGAAATCATGGCAAAGTGCAAGTGGTAAATACGGGGGCACAGCGTGTGGGCCCCTTAGGAGGGCGTCCAGCTGCATGAGATGGAAAACCCAATCATAATGGTATAGCACATAATGGTTTGTCTTCACGTAGCAAGAATTCTGGAGGTACACAGCTGCTTCGGTTGGCTCAGTAGGTCAATAATACCAGGACGGATGTCTTTGGGAATTCTCAGGGCTTTTGTCTTGTGCTTGCAAGATGGTTCCTGCAGCTTCAGTGATTATATCTGGGTTCAAGGTAGAAAAGAGGAGGACTTGGTTATTGTGAAGGAATGTCCCCAGGACGTCTCTTCCTCCCCACCTTGGAGATGATATTTGCTTATATCTTCTTGGCCCGAACTGAGCCCTAGCTGCAAGGGAGCTTGGGAGATGGGGAACTGAGGACAGCACCATGGTAGGCTGAGATGGATCAGGATCCATTGCCTGGAATGGCATGTTGCCACTCCATGCAAAATCAGGGCTCTGCCACTGTGGAAGAAGGCACAAATTGATATTAAGTAAGTGGGCTGCCAGCGGTGGCAGCCATAGGATATTATCAGAAGATATTTTGGTGAAAAAGAAAGTTGATGAACTTGGAGTCAGACTGATACAGCTGTGAATTCTAGCTTTTCTCTTTACTTTATTCTGGGCTAGTGGTTTAAGTTTTTGGCAAAACAGCAATAATTAAATAACATTACCTACTTCAGGGGATAAGGATTGGAAGGACTGACGTTTTCAAGGGTCTAGCACTATTTTGAACAGAGTGGCTGCAGGTGCTGAATGAATGACAGCTGTGCTGATGATCACGATTGGCATTACATGGTGTTGACTAGATGTGGAAGGGAGCAGTTCAGATCAGAGAGGAGGAGGAGCTTGAGTAGCATCTCCAAAGTATGTTCTGTAGAACCCTAATTCTGTGGGATGTTAGCGTTTTTCAGTCTTTCAACAAATGCTGATATCCAGGCACTGTACTTAATGCTGGTGGTCAGTAAGTGTTCTGTGGACAAAACAAATTCTATGGTTAATAAGTTTGGGAAGGGATGTGTTAAGCAAAGGGAAACAGGCATCTTTACTGCAGGACTTCTCAGAGCTTTTAATATGCTACCTATGTGTATTAGGCCTTCAAGAGAGGATAGAACGGAGTCTTGCTCTGTCGCCCAGGCTGGAGTGCAGTGGTGCAATCTTGTTTCACTGCAGCTTCCGCCTCCTGGGTTCCAGTGATTCTCTTGCCTCAGCCTCCCAAATAGCTGGGATTATAGGCATCAGCCACCACACTCAGCTAATTTTTGTATTTTGAGTAGAGCCAGGCTTTTGCCATGTTTGGTCTTGAACTCCTGACCTGCCTGCCTTGGGCTCCCAAAGTGTTAGAATTACAGGTGTGAGCCACCACACCCGGGCCAAGGATTTCTCTTGGGATTTTTCTATAGCATACACCTGGGAAAACATTTGGCAAAGCAGGGAAACCTTCGTCATTGGGGAAATGTGGATTTGGAGTGGAGTGAAGGATGAGGAGGGTTTAGATTGCAGCAAAGGGGGAGAGCTTGCTAGACAAGAACAGCAAACCAGATGAACGTATTAAAATGCCTTCTTGGAGCAGCTTAGAGACCATTTTGTCCAGAATGGAGAGCACCTGGTAGCCTGTCGCAGGAAGTGAATTTAGGCCACTGACTTCTGGGATCCAACTAAAGATGAGAGAGTCAGACCAACCAAGTTTCATCCCTTTGAGGAAGGAGATAGAAATCTTCAGAGGTTTTGGAATGAATACAATAAAAAAGTATTTGTATGTTTTTTTGTTTTGTTTTTTTTTGAGGCAGGGTCTCTTTCTGTAACTCAGGCTGAAGTGCAGTGGCACAATCATGGCTCACTGCAGCCTTGACCTCCAGGGCTCAAGTGATCCTCCTGCCTCAGCCTCTTGAGTAGCTGGGACTACAGGTTTGGACCACCACACTTGGCTGATTTTTTGTATTTTTAAAATAGAGACAGTGTTCTGCTATGTTGACCCAGCTGGTGTTGAACTCCTGGGCTCAAGTGATTGGCCTGTCTTGGATGGCAGCCTTTGGCAGGGGCTGGCAAACTTTTTCTAGAAAGGGCCAGATAGTAAAGAGTTTAGGCTTCGTGGGCCCTGCAGTTTCATCACAGCTCCTCGACTCTGCTGCGCATGCAGCAGCCATGGGTAGTACATACATGAACGGGTGGGGCGGTTTTCTTTTTCTTTTGTGACAAGGTCTTTCTCTGTTGCCCAGGCTGGAGTGCAGTGGTATGTATGATCTTGGCTCATTGCAACCTCTGCCTCCCAGGTTCAAGCGATTCTCCTGCCTCAGCCTCCTGAATAGCTAGAATTACAGGCCTGTGCCCTCACGCCTCGTTAATTTTTATAGTTTTAGTAGAGACAGGGTTTCAGACCAGCCATGTTGGCC